CGAGGAGGGGAGACCAATTAGAGAACGGGGGCAGTACGACATCGACCTATCGGAATGTTCGATCTGAGACCCCAAAAAAACTTATAAAAACCGCGCAAAAATCGGATGACGTTCTTGGTTCGTAGTTCTTGGTTCTAAGTTCGGTGTGCTCCGCTTCTGGATTTTTCCTGCGGTTAAACAACGGGAACTTGGTCGTCGTCCCGAAAGAAGTTTTCTCCATCCTGTCCCTGCAAGTTTCGCCAAGGGTAATCTACTGCGAGAACCACCCCTTCAAGTTGTGCTGTGCGCCCCGGAGCCTACATTTTCATCATCATCTTCACCAAAAGAAGAGAAGATCGTAAAAAAAGATAGAACTTTATTTACGAACTGATTCACTCTGTGGATAGGCCTTACGCCGAAGTAAAACTAGTTGTAAGCGAAATTTATAAATTTAATAAATAGTTTGCGATGGAGGACCTGTCTCAGTAAGTTTTTCCACTCCCACACGACAGTGCTGACCGCTCGACTGTCGCGACACTTTCTCCCCAATCGGCAAGCCTCGCATATCCAGAAGTTCCGGAATGGTCGGTGCAGAGACAGGCATGCGAGCAAGGACTGCAAGAGGAGTGTAAATCGATTCTGAAAAAGAGGAAAAAGAAGCCTTGGTGGAAGAAGATCTTCTTCTTCTGGAAGAAATAAATCAGCGAGGTCTTCTCACCGGATGTGACTTTTCCCCGACTGTGACTTTTTTTACCCGGATATGGACTTTTACCTGGCTATGACCTAATGACCGGACACAACTTCATTCATCGGATGTGACTTTTTGTGGTGGCTTGGCGTCTTCCCTTTCCTGCTGACGGTTCTCGGAATGATGCATGTCCTTCGTCATCGCTTACGAGGAACGTGTTCTTCCACTTCAGTTAATTAAAGTCGACGGTGACAACTTAGCACCGTCTTCGGTCGTTTGAAACCTCTCAACTGAGGATGAAATTCTGACCAGAAAATAATTGATTTTCGCCAGCAACGTGCGTGTCAACACTGGACACCCGAATAAAAACAAAAGGCAAATATCTCAGTTGGTATATGTCTAAGCCACAATTATAATTATGTTGAACAATTAAATGTGTATATAAACTTTAACTTAATAAAACTTTTTAAATTTATATTGATTGATTACGTGATTTGTTTAAATACAGTATTATATATGTGCACATTTTATTTTTGAACTAATTTATAATTAAATTTGAATATTATTTGAGGATTTTTCTGATGTCATGCGACCTCATCTGCCATTGTGTAATATCATAAAACTGTGACCGTTGGGTCGGTATCTCTTCGATACCACGTCAGGATGACACTACTGTATACTTAGGTCGATACAGAGACCACAAGTTCGGGCAAGCGGTTACGTATGAGGTTACGTATGAGGACCCGGAGTGGAGTGAACGGAGAGAGGAACGGAAGAAACTACACTCAAAGACGCTTTAAACATAAATAATCGTTTATTTATATTAAATCTAAATTAGGTTTACATCAGGAATTAAGATTACAAGTTAGTATATTGCTAAACATAAGCTACGTGAATCGCGTTCAGTTATTGATCTCTTCTCATTTCCGTTCTCTAGTTACAATCGAATTCGCGATTAGTTTACGCAGAGAGAGAGAGAGCGTACAATAATGCGCGGACAGGATAAATACCTTATATTATACTGTTGATCGAATAACAGCAATAAAGTCCCAAATCCATTTTCTTTCCCGAACAGTTCTCTTTTAAGTTGAGTAGGTGAATTGTTGATATCTTCGAGTTCGGTAGGCGAGGAGGAGGTGTTGGTTGACGAACAGGAACAGTCTTTCGAAGGCGGGAGGTAAACATCTCGCGCACACACACACACAATCAAAAAATAACTTCTCCGATCTTACGCATCGGGCCGGTCCTTTTTATATGAAGTCCTCTTTTCGGGCCTTTCCCCGATTTCGTCAGGGATGACGATCTCCTTGGAACAATGAGGTGTCGGGTGACACAGAGATGTACTCATCTCAACAAGGAACCCAACTCGTGGGAATCGAGGTTTAACCAGATTTTATTTTTCCCTCTTCTCTTTTAATTTTTTAATAACTCGTTCCGTCTTTATAGAGTTGCATTTAATTAAAGTTTAATTAAAATTTATAAAATATTAAAGTTTATAACACGAAATTTCTGATTCTCACAAATCTATTTGAACATAACGAGAAATGAACATTTACCATTGATTAGACATCAATCGTAATCCTAGAATAACGTCAGAATTGCCGAGTGGTCTGAACTGCCAGACTCAAGGTAGTCCCTTCCTGTAAATGCGGGAGCTTGCATTCTGGTCCACGATGGTGGGCGTGGGTTCGATCCCGCTCTTGACACGTACTTTCCTTATTTGCTATTGATTAAAAATGTCTATTTCAGTGTGACATAAGCGCCTGTAAGACATTTTGTAATTCTTTTGATTCGAAACTCTAATATTAGTTGGTCAGAACTTTGCAACATGTTGAATTCCGTTTTGAGGTCATCGCAAAAGTAGAATAAACTTATCGAAATGTTGCAAAATTCTACTTTCACACACGTGTGTGGCGTAGCACAGTTCCTGTTCTAAATTTAAAGCAAAAGAAGTTTCTGAATTCTACAGTCGCTGTCGCCTTCAATTGCATAAACGATGACAGGGGACAAGAAAAAAAAGTCCCACCGAGATTTGAACTCGGATCACTGGATTCAGAGTCCAGAGTGCTAACCATTACACCATGGGACCTCACCCAAACCCTCGTATACTATATCACCTTAATGCATTGCAGATTGCCTTATCGACTATCGCGTAAAGATATCGCCGCATCTGTTGTTGCCGATAATGGAAATCTCTCTGTCTACAATTTCTCGTTAAATAGCGAAGCTGTAGCCAAATATCTCTCGCGAGCGCCGCGATTTCCAGAGAGAAAGACATCGTGCGTCAATTCGAGCCCGAAAATAATTAACGAATCTAATCGGAATCGAATATTCGATTATGACGCCTTAAAACGCGTTTTAAATCTGCTTGAGTGTTGTGCTAGAATTTTTTTTGAATATGTTACTTGCGCATGTTGGATATAGTTTTCGGAGTTCAGTGATCTCACGTAGCAATGCAAAATCATAGCTTCGATAATTCTTGTCGAATCGTTTGCTACGAGATGTTCGACAGCCGACAACAATGCCCGAGACAAACGTATTTTGTTGGGGTCACGGAGGCCACGTTTCTTTATGGAGCGAGAGTGTAGCGAAAATGACATCACGAGCCGCTATCGCTACACGTCGCTGCATTATAGTTTAGAAACGCTTTACGCTCGAACTGAAAATGGATGCCGTAATTTATTCTTTAATTCCAGATACAGCCGAACGTAGTGCTTTAGTTAAAGAACTGCAATATTTAAATAAAGAGATATAAAGAATCGAGCATTTCTCTTTACGAAAATGTGAGCAAAGAAATGAAATAGGAAATAGATAATTATATTTAAGATATAGTATTTTCTTATTCTTTAGATAACTTTCACAGTCATTTTATAAACTTTAATCCTTTTTAATTTTCCATAATATTTTTATCAACAGTCATTTCGACTTTTTTATTTTCAGAGCATAACATCGTATTGTATACCCAAGTGTCCATTTTGCATTACAGACGTAGAGGAAGTAAAAGTTGTTTTTATCAAACTCTTAAGAAGGTTCGCTACATTATAGCGCTTCATTTAGAAACGCTTTGCTGTGTAGCGATCGAACAGCGCTGCATAAAGAAACGCGACCGGATATTCACTAAAATCTTTCGAAAGAGTTAGAGATGAATGTGTAACTTGTACCGCAACACGTCGCGCAATTAAAGGCGAATTAAGGTCCGAAGGCGGATGGTTAATTTATTGTTTTCATTCCGACGGTTGAAATGCGACAGGACAGACACAAAAGTATTCGTTTCACTGACAGACGTAGTATGGAATGTGTAAGCTTCTTCGAAAACGGCGAATTCATCTACACTGAGACTAACGTATTGCTATCAAAAACGAATACAAACATTTTCTTATTGGAAGCGACGTGGAAAATTTTTGATAACTCGTTCGGAATTGCTACTTTCGATCTGAAATTTCCCGATGTAAACATTTTGCGCAATGGTTGTGGATGCAGTAATTTGCCTTTCTCTGAAAACGTCAGTGTTTGTTTTGTCGTAATAAAACCAAAGAAAATCTCTCGACCCGGACAACAACGTCGATTCGCAACTGCGATTAAATCTTGTGTTAGGGATTTAGACGTTGGCCCATCGTAAAGCCTGCATAAACGTCGCATGGAAATATCTTGCGCCATAGATTAGGCAGCCATCGCGGATGCTGAGTCACATCAGGATGGTCAAGAGATCTGAGGCGCCAGACTCAATGGAGACCTTTCATCTAAATGCAGAAGCGTCTATGATAGTGGGCGTAGGTTCGAATCCCACTACTGACACAAACGTTCCCTTTTTTATCTTCGGTCGATTGAAAATATTTATTTTAGTGTGACGTATGTTTGCGCTCTGAAGACATTCTTTTGATTCGAAACTGTAATGATGAGTGTGTCAGAACTTTGCAACATCTTGAATTCTGTTTATCTGCGATCGGTAATGTAGAATTGTTTTTACTTAGCACGTTTTGCACAGGTTTTACCGTACACTGTGAAACTTGGATAAATATTTTAACTTTAACATAAGCATAACAAAGAAATGCATATAAAACCAAAGACTAGACAATTAATATGGGCTGGCTCCCCCATGAAATTCGTACCATTATAATTAGTTTAAACTTCAATTATTTTGAATAATTCCAGTTTATTCGCAGTTTCGTTTACTATGTTTGCAAAGAATTTACGTAATTTTTTTAAAAATATTTTTATTTTTTAAATTACAATAAACATGATGGAAAAACTTTATAAACAAATTTCTCTAATTATAGTAATTTAATTATTATTATATTTGATAGCAATGAATTAAAAAATTAATAATTCGTGTACTACAAAATTTATCTTGCACTGTATGGGTTGAGTCATTAGACTGAATGTTAGTGTATACTATTGCGTTTGAGGCGTTATCGTGAGGAACAAAATTGTAGCATGATAATACTTTTGATGAATTGTTGCCTGATGTTAATAAGTCATTTAAGTAATCTATAAAAACAATTGACACATGAAATCAATATAACAGATATAAGTGCACTGTGTTACAGAAAGAAAATGTTCCTATTATTGCTATAAAGGTAACAGTGTTGTAATCTAGTTATATGACTCTTTTCTAGAATAATTGTTTAAACAATTTGTATATTTTATAGTTTTAAACTATATATTGAAGTTATTTGTGGAATTAACAAGTAATGATTTAGTAGCTGGTTTACAAGATTTGTCGATTCCTTCGAAGATATCTCGTAACTTAAGTAATATGTTGAAAACACTATACAGCGATTCATACATCTATAAAATAAAAATGTTTTATTACATTTAAATTTTTAAAAATTACTTCATAAATTATTTATTAAAGTTATAAAAATTTTATATAATCAATGGCATATGATTTTGCTAGAGATTCTCTGGGAGGATGATGTAAAAAGTACAATCAGAATGAGTAAAACGCACCATAAAGTATCGTTTTTTAATAAAATACTTATTTATTCACTTATTTTTAATAAATTGTTTAAGTTCAAATTTTATTCCTAAATCCTCTGGGAAAAAATAACAGTGAAATCACGTATCTTAAATGTGCTATATCATATAATCAATTATTTTAATCATATAAAATTACCTGAATGGGAAAATTTGTAGAAAGAATAAAATAACCTCCACAACAAATTCCAATTTCATTTTCGCGAAATTTTTTCATAAAGTTCAATACCTATGAATAATTTTAAAAGTAAAAATTCAGTTTTTTAATTTAAAAATTTTTAAAAAGTTACCTTTAGATTGACTTCCAACGGAAGAGGAATTAAGTTAAACTTTCTAATTTCTTGAAAAGAATCATAAGCCTGTTGTCGACAATTAGAAATAAATTTAAGAAATAATAATTACTTTATAATTAAGTAAAATTAATATTTTATTTCGAACCTACCGATACAAAGATACGAGATACCACAAATGAAATTCCTACCACCAAACATATGCCGAGAATGGAACAAAGTAGAAGAAAAGTTCGTACGTATGTAGCTGATGTAGTGAATATTGTGTTATAGACAGCAAAGTTTATAATATAAGCGCCAATTCCGTAAATAATAAAGAAACTATTACCCCATTTATCGTTTATTTGTTCAATTAATTCGCACAACTCCCAGTGTTTTCGCATTATATCGTTAATTTCATATTTTGGATTTTGGGTTACAACTAAACTCAACCGTTGCGATAATGCGTTGAATCTTTCGTATAGCATTACGCCCAATAATATGAATGTAGCAATAAACCACATTAAAAATTCAAATTCCGAAATCAAAATGAAATGAGTACAAACGGAACAGAAAAGAGCCCGTTTCCATGTTGATCTCTCATTTACTGCCTTAAATACGTAAAATGAAAATGCGACTGAACCGATTAATATACAAACGTACGAAGACCCAAACAAATAAGATATTCCTATCTGCCATTTATTCATTTTTTCTTTTTCTCCGTCATACCCTGAAATTCTTAAGTCGAAAGACAATTTATATTTTGCGCCAGTATGATGCAATAAAATTATGCCAAAGCTTGCGAGATAAACCATGCTCAGAAGGAAAGGCTTATTTAAACCGCTTCCTGTCAGTGTTACTGCGGGACTACAGAACCATGGATCGTCGGCTGTTGCAAATCTCTGCACTGTTAACGCAATCACTTGTATAATAGGCATTAAACGTACCAATTTTCCGTAAACGGACAACCATTTCTTCTGTTTCTCGCTAAGCTCTTGGTGTTTGCAACGCGTATAGAATATATTGCCGTAAAGTGCAGAGAGATTAAATATTGGGCATATCATACAATAAACGCAACTAACAGCCATTTAACCTAATAATTTGTGTCTGGTATGGAGATTGTAAGTGCTCGCTTACTAAAGAAGTGCCACGTGGTTATATCCAGTTGACGATATATAATGTATTAGTTATATAAAATCGTGAACATTGATTTTATAGTTATTTCTTATGAAATCACTTAGGAATTATTATATTGCTTCTCCTGATAATTTAAGACATTCCATAGTCATGTATGACATATTTATATGGTTTTTCATCTTAATAATTCTATTTACCCATATAACTCAATGGAAAAGTAATAGAATTGCAAATCTTTAACTTATGTTCAATTATTATATAATTATATATTATGTTCATTATTATATAAAGTATATTTAAATTTTAAACGGTTATTTCTAACGTTTAAGAGACATTGTATGCGTGTCGAGTTCGTTTTTCAACTTCACTGATGTATCGTAGAAATTCAAATAAATGCGCTGTAATATTCATGATGAATAATTTCTCCATTCAATATAGAAACTACTTTGTCTATGTAGCTTTCGAACATTACGCTAAAACTGTAAGGATTGTTTTATAAAGGACTTAAACAATGAAAAGATATATGAAGTACTTCTGTCGGACATTATTAATTAATGATCTCATTTTTTTTTCAGTCTTTGTGAAACCGAATGTTTCCATGTATCTATTCATTTAGTTATATTCTGTTTTTATTATTATTAAACATTTGTTTCTAGAGATAAATGATATTTATTGGTAAATTAGATATGCGTGAATTGTTTATTAAGTGAATTGTTTTATAGGAATATTATCTCAAATTAAAAGTTAATTTCCTGATGGAATTTTCAAATATAATCCAATTGTTAGATTGGATTATATTTGAAGTTATTTGTTTTTCTTTTCAAATATTTGCTGAAGGATACTTTACTTTGATTATATTTGATTACTTTATCGAAGGACTTATATCGGGTAATAATTTGTTTTTCACGGGAAACATTAATTTATGTTGAATGTAAATAAGTAGTCTGGTTATAAACTTTAACATATAATTAAGTATTATAGCACAAAGTAATTGTTTAATAGAATCATATTTTCAATGATTTTTATTTACAGAATGCAGCAACATAATATTCTCTGCGCATGTACTGTAATTTACGTTTTATAATAGAGCCGTTCAGAGGCCATATCGTTTAACTCCATTTCTAAATGTTATAATAAATGATTATTTGCTTAGAAGAATATAGAAAATTATTTTCTTCTAGTTGATGATTTTTGTTTTTTTTTTTATCAGGAACAGCAGCCGTACAAGATTGCTTAAATACATTGAATAAGAAAAATTCAGCTGTAATTTAGATCATATTTTATAATTATTATTACTTATATAAATTTACATTTTGATACAATATTTGATAGAGGAATGCTATTTCCTGCACATAATGTTGTTCATTACAGTAATACCCCGACTTACGCGAACCCGGAGTTACGCGATTTTCAAATCTCGTCGATTCGTCTTTTGTTTGAACGCCACGCAACTCTCGATTACTCACTCCCCCCACACTATTGTTCGGCTTACATGTTCGGACATGTCGCNAAATGCATCTATAGTAATAGAATAAAGTGAAATCATTGGCTAAAGCTGTGTGATAGTCTACCGCCAATATTAAAATTTACATTTTAAGTGCGGATTTACAAAGACTTTACAATATATATATAACAGCAGTCATAAGAAATTTAATTAAAATTTACTATTTTAAGTTAATTTGTGTTGATTTCAGGTACTGGTCTTCATTTACATGAGTTCTTCCAATTTTTAGAGTACAGTAGTTAATTTTACTAGATAGTAGATTCATAATATCAAAAAATATTGAAAAATGATGTGTTATATCTTATTTGAATGTTTTAAACAGTTAAAAAAAGTTAGAAAATATATGTCAAATATATTACATTATAGTTTGGAAACAAACTTGCAATTTAAATTGAATGCAATAAAACATACAGTAAAAGCAATATCATTTTTAAATTATTAAATGAGTAAAATCAATGAAACAATATTTCGAATATAAATAAATAAAATTTTTCAAAGTTGATTATCTTTTGTTTATTGTATTATACAGACAATTTAATTACAGTAATTACTAAAATATTTTTAAAAATTTTATGCATATAGATGATTAGTTCTAATATGAATATGTATTATTAGGATTTTGAATAAATGACAATAATGAAAAATACTGTAAATCTTTATTTTTGTTTTGTTTAGAGCATTTAAGTAATTCATTTTTAGCAACATTTATATTTATTACATATTTTAAAATGAATTTTTTAATTAAGCATTTTGTTTGATCAAACAATGTAGCATTTTGCTGAAGTGAATTGTGTTCATGCCTTATACAACTTTTATTTACTTGACAACTGATGAAGATCCATCAACTGTCGAAAATGTTCTTGTTCACTAAGTAACTTGCTGGTGTAATTTAAGATGGGAATGATTTTCATCTTGACATTTTTTCTCCAGTTCCTCAGTAATTTCTTTACTACATTGCCTTTTTTCAACTTGAGAAATGAATAAAGTTATTTTGTACTGAAGTTAGCTATAGTTCATATTTGCTTTATTTTTCTAATTGTATTATATTAAAAAGTATTTATCTGATTTTAAATTATGTTTTAATGAATTTGGCACAGTGTTCTTGAGAAATTTTAATCCTCATAATGAGCTAGCTGCCTTTATTTTATCATGACACAAGATCTAATATGAGTTTTGACCAATGTTTACAACAATAAAATATTCTAATTAGTGTTGTGAGATTGAAATTCCCATATATTCTGATTTGTAAAGCTTGTATATTTGTTTCCATTTTTTTTTTTCCTGCATCATTTTTAATGTGTATTAATTTATTAGAAATAGTATCATTTGCTCTAATGTCATTATGCAGTTTAGTGAACTTTCACATTTACATTACGAATCCTTCCGTAATTGATCACAATTTTATTTTTTTCTTTTACTAGTTATTAAGTTTTGTGCTTGTTTATTGTTTTAATTAACTTTTTATCTTACCATTAAGTAAAGAAACATCTGATAATTTATGTATTTGCTTCTCTCATTTCATATTAGTTCCTCTTATGTTGATGAATGACTTAATCAACAGTTTTATTTTATGTTTATTTAGAATTATTGGTTGATAGGTAAATAGATGTTTTGTAGAACTTTAATGACCAGATTATGTTGGAATAAGGGACAAATTTTGACAATGAGAAATAATGGATAATCTTGCTTCTTTTTATGAGATTTGAATTTACAAGAGAGTTTCAGAAATGTTCATAAATTGGGTAATACTGTATATAAATTCAGTTTATTGTATAATGTAAAATTAATAAAGAATAAAGTAAATCTCAGGAGGAACCCATTGTTCCTCCCCAAGAGTTACCAAGATTTACTTTATTTTTTGTTTCTTTTCTTTGCTTTTTACATTGAAGCAACTATATTGTAGTCTTAGCACAATGAGATGGCCCTTCCAGTTCTCCTTTAACATTTATGCAGATGCTGAATTACTTGAAAGATGTCATATTTTAAGGTATAGCTGGAGTTTCTGCTTGTATTTTAAATGTATTTATTATTCACTCTTAGGAAGATATAGGAGGATAGTATAAGCAGAAACAAACTTGTTTAATGAACATGATTTTAGTGAATCAATGATTTATTAGTTGATCTAAATTATGTTTATTTTGTTCTGAGATAAAATCCTGTACATATTTTTATACTGTATAACTCATTTTTCAGCTGTTAAATTAAAAAAGAGCAAACAAAATGATTTAAACTCAAGTACTTTCATTGATTTTTCAAGTAATTTTCAAATATTTGAAAAATAAAAAAAATAATTTGTGCTTTTGTTAACTAATTTAACATCAGAAAAATGGAGTATGTAATATTTAAATAGTAATATGTGATATATTTGTAATGACTTTGCTGTATTTGATTGATTCAATCACAATTTAATATATAACTATATAAGCTTGATTTTTATACAAATTTATTTTGATGAAATAGAGTAGGCATAAAATTATGATAATAAATTTCACCATTGCAAATCATAAGTNAATTCTGAAAAAACAAAAATAATTTTATAATAAAATTTATGTAGAAAATCTCTGAATAGAATCATATTAAGATCAATTAAACGTATCAAAAGGTTTCTTCATTGATTACATAAAATGCAATATATCTATGCATACACTGATACAAATCAAACAGAAGTAAAATACTATCTAACGGTGTTAAAAGATAAAAATTGAATTAAAAAAAACAAATATATTTACAAGTACTTCTGATGATAAACCATAATCATAATTTTCAGGTAAAACAGAAAAAAGTATAAAAAAATAGAATAAATACAATTTTAAAGATTACATAAAAATTTAAAATTTCTAGAACTCATTTTAATTGAAATTACATTATAGTAACACTCCCAATGTATTATATATATTTATCCATACTTTTCCAATAAATAATCAACAGTCACCAAAAGTACAGGAAATGGTCGTAAGTCTTCTGGTTTCGGTGTCCTCTGACCCGCTGCTGATCTTTTGAATTCTTTAACTGTTTTTTTACTGTCCGCTTTAGGCCTAAAAGTTATTTGCTATTAATTATATTATTTTAATTTTAAACGTTGTTATGTAATTAATAATTACCTTTGTAAATGTTCTGTTCCTTTGCATACTTCAAACTGATGAAGTAAACCCTGTTTTTCTCTCCTAAAATTTAATTTTAATTATTCATTATAAATAAAATGAAATGTAATAAATATTGCAAATTTTAAATACAGTAATATAACATATGATACTTTATGAAACTAAGAACAATCATACAGTAAGTTGTTATAATTTATACATGTGATATATAAAATTCAATATAATGGTTTACATTTACAGAATTCTACATACTAAAAGTAATTTTATTAATATACATTTTATTAGTTCTGCCTTTCTAATAAGTGATACATACTATTTGTTTGAATATTTATGAAATTATCTTGATTTATGAAACTATAGAGCTAATTTATTTATTTAATCCACTTGTGGATAATGTCACGATAAATTGAAGTCACCGCCCAATTAATAAATCAAACAATCAAACAGATTAAAAATGCAAATAACTAGATACAGTATCTGGATTTGCTTGAGAAAAGAATAATATATTAAGTAAAGTTAATGTACTTGTATAAAAACACACATACAAAAATGTAAAATGTATATAAGAAAAGTATGTACAGTACTTATAGTAGATCCAACTAACAATAATTTTACATCAAGAAAATTCTAGTGACTCACTGACATGTAAAAATGGCAATTGTCATATGTCTAGTACTGCAAGCATTTCACTCAAAGAACAAAAAGACCAATTAAAAGCCAATGTCCTTCCCTGGATTATCTTGAATACATGTACAAAATTTCATAGAACTTGGTTCAGCTGTTCTCATATGATTCTCAAACAGACTTCTGGGAATAATTTACAAAACAGAGTCAATGGGAATCACTAAATGGATTTTCTGTAGCCATTATCTACAATGGCTTTAAGCACTTCTTTAAGGAACCAGCCATTAAACAGACACTTATTATTCAGGGAAAGCATGTCTCTGCTGTTATCTTTCTCTTACATTTAACAGAGACAAAAATTTGACATTTGTCTAGTTTTGATGTTCTTGCTATTAAGAGTACATTTTCAAAGTCTTTTTTCACCTTTATGATTAACAATGAATTGTTTTGTTTTCCTTGATTTCCAGTTTAATTTATTAAATTTTTAAAAAATTTGTGACTAATTAAATAATGAAAAAAATACTGTTAACAATAATGATAGCAATGATGCACCTGTGACATCATTGCTATCATTATTAAAAATTCTCCAAGCACATTAGTAAACTTGGACTTAGTTCAAAGATGACTGCACCCATGTACAACATGATCATTAATTTACCGGACAGAACAGATGTAAAACTGGATATGAGTGAAGACATTTATTATCAGATGATGGAAGGTAAGTAAAAACAGATTCCTAATAGTGTATAATTTTATACCATACAATTCAATTCTGATAATAGAGGAATGTGATGAATGTCATTATAGATGTAAATTATGCTAAAGAAGTGACTTTGGATGCTAATTCCACTGTTTCAGTTCACCCCAGTGTTGTTGCTAGTAAGTAAAATTTGGATTTTGAATGAAATAGTTAAAAGAATAAACCAAGATCATGAAGTATTTAGCACTGCCAGTCAGAAAATTTCAGAAATTGTAAACTTGTTATAAGTGCACTATATGCTAAATATTTTCTATCTTTTATTATAGAGAAACCCTGTGGCTTTCAGTGGCCCAAGCCAAGACAATACAATTAATGTAAGATATGAAAAAATTATATTTTTCTTTCTCTTCTGACTTTTTGGATAATATATAACTTCAATTTTTTTTTTTTTTTTTTATGTAAGAAGGAAACAAAAGGGAAAATTTCTGACTCCATTGATTTTTATAACTTTTTGGACAATACAATTAATTTCTTTATACAAGAAATAGGAAACTGAATCACCACAGTATACCAATATTCAGGTTATACTGCACTATACTTTTGACAAATAATTTATAACAACCTTCTTTAATTAATTAATATTCATTATAGTTATGGAGGATATCTGCAAATAAATTGAATGAGGAGGGATTTTGTCACCTCAGCACAGTTGACACCAAATGGAGGGGAATGAAGAAAGCATTTTAACTTGCAACTTTATCCCCAGCATCTCTTGCAGGATCAGCAAGTCATTTTATCACCAATCACGTCATGACCCAATACTAACAGCACACGGCAACTTCAGAGCCTACCTCTATAGGTTCTTGAGGAAGGGGAATGGTTTGTGCCACTGTGATACTAATGAGAACAAAGATCCAACGCATCTAATCTTCATCTGCCTGGTTCATTTATGCCATCGTGCAAACCTTCGTAAGGCTATTGTGGAACGAGGGTATCTTTGGCCCTGAGAACTATATATCTTTATAGAGGACCAGATCATCTATCAAGATTTCAAGACCTTCGTGAGACACCTGAAACTGACGGACTATACCACTACCAGCCCAAGTGGCACCTAACAAACAGCTCATCTCCTTGACCAACAGGGACCCCCAAAAAGAAGTCCTTATTGCTTCTTCTCAGTGCCACCCCTTCCTTTGCTAACTTTTAACAAGGTTGCTTCATCTGTCCTACTCCTCAGTTTTACTCTATGGGCCTACTTCTTCCTTGTAAATATAAATTGTTCTGCATGTGTAAACTATTGTTTATCCTTGTCTTATCCAACAGTCCCCCTTGCGGCTTATGTCCTCACCCTTCCACTTTCAAACCTCCAACTATCCCACCTTTCCAATTTTTCCTCAAATCACTCTCTCTCCTTCCTTCACCCATCTTTTTTATCTTTTAAGGCTACACCATTGAGTATAGCCTTTCTTCTTTCACATTTGTGCTGCTACTAACCCATATGACACCACTTTGTTTTCATCCTCTCTACACTTTTATGAGCTTGCTCATATCACATCAGATCAAACTAGGTGTCTGCCAAGCTAGGAAGCTAGCAAAAAGTAAACATACCCGAACTTATATACACACTCTTAGGGCTGCTTTAAACTCTTTTGATGCTGCTGGCCCAATTTATTTAGAAACAAATAAAAAACAAAAATTAGTAATGAGCAACAAGATGAGGCCTTGTAAAGCGTACATAGGACCCTACATACATTTTACAAACTATAATTGGCCATCTCCATGGAGCTGAACTAAACTCAGAGTAAGATTATGCATGTTAAATTAACGTACTGAATTTTATATGCTGTATAAATGATTAAAATAAAATTCTCAGTATCTTTTTATTAAAGCTCTACTTGGCATTACCTTTCATTCAATAATTAATAACAAATAGAGGCATTTTATAATAACAGAATTACCAATGTCTCTCTTTCGTCGGACACATGTCCATACAACTACCTTTCGTGTGTGCCGCCATTTTGCTATCGAGAGACTGTTGCCAACTAATTTAACGATATTTTTATTATTAATTTCTTAACCATCGATTTATAATTGATTTTAATTTACAATTAATAATTAGAAAATAATAATAATTAGAAAATTTATATGCTTATCTCAAATATTTACGAAAAAAAAAATTTTTTTTGAAAAATACAGTGACGTAACACGTGATGTCACACCAAACGAGAATGGACGACCTGTAATAGATTTCGGTGATAAAAAGGTAGATTAGCTTATTACATATAAATTAAATGTTTTTCATTTAGCTTTGTTTTATCGTCAAGATGCCTCAGAGTTTATTTCCAGCTTTGAAAAACGACGTTATATTAAGAGCAGCGAGAGGAGAGAAAACGGAGTATGTTCCTGTATGGGTGATGAGACAAGCAGGTAGATACCTACCTGAATTCCGAGAATTAAGGAATTATTTCGATTTTTTCCATATTTGTCGTACTCCCGAACTTGCCAGCGATGTTACTCTTCAGCCAATAGAGAGATTCGATTTAGATGCAGCCATTATTTTCTCAGATATCCTGGTGGTTCCACAAGCAATGGGAATGACCGTCGAGATGCTGCCTGGTGTGGGTCCGTCGTTTCCCAAACCTCTTGCTAGTCCTGCCGACTTGAATGCTCTGAAGAAGTCTGTAGATGTCGACAAGGAACTTGGTTACGTGTTTGATGCTGTCACGTTGACGAGACATAAACTCGGTGGCCGCGTTCCTCTGATCGGATTTAGCGGCTCACCCTGGACACTCATGGGCTACATGATAGAGGGCGGCGGCTCTAAAACCATGTCAAAATCCAAGAAATGGCTCTATCGGTGGCCCGAAGCCAGTCACGAATTATTGGGTATTTTGACGGATGTGATAATTAATTATCTGGTTGGTCAGGTGAAAGCCGGGGCTCAGATGTTACAGCTGTTTGAGAGTAATGGAGGTTATTTGGGACCGGAACAGTTCGGTATATTTGCATTGCCTTATATAAAAAGAATTCAGAGTGGCGTGAGAGAAAAGTTAAGAGATGAAGGTCACGAACAAGTACCGCTTATCATTTATGCAAAAGATTGTCATTACGCATTAAAAGATTTGGGAATGGCAGGATTCGACGTTGTTGGTTTGGATTGGACTATATCCCCAAAGAGAGGGAGAGAAGAAGTGGGTCCGAATGTCTCTTTACAAGGAAATTTAGATCCGTGTGCACTGTATTCTTCTCAAGAAGACATTGAAACATTTGTTAAAAATATGTTGGATGAATTTGGTACCCAACAATATATTGCTAATTTAGGTCATGGTATTTATCCGGATGTAAGTGTAGATAGCATGAAAACTTTTGTAGATGCAGTTCATAATTATTCAAAAGAAAAAAATAGTTCTTTAGATAACTAATTTTTCTGCATTCATAGACCATATTATAAAGTAAACTTTATCATGTAGGAAGTAATTTGTTTTTCAAAATATTTGAATATAATTATTGCATAATCGAGAATACATGTTTTTTGTAATGTTGTCGTCATCTTATTATTTTCATGCTTATCAATTTGTTGTATTTGATATAAACTTATAAGATTTTTATATGGATCATTTTAACTACCGATTATAAATATTGTTAGTATATTTATTTTAATTAATAAAAATTGATTTGTTTATTTAATTATATTTAAAATTTTTGGATATTATTTAATATTTATCCATTGTTTGTTTGATTCTCCAAGTATTGTTTTAAGTGCAAACAACTCATCTTCCATATATTTTTCTAAGAATCAAAAGTAAGATTATATTTGTAAAATGAATAAAGTAAATAGGTTTAGAAATAGGAATCCAAACAACTAATTCTTATTAAGAGTTATTTGCACTGAAAATATAATAAATGATACTATGATGAAATTATATGGTAAATGATAGCCAAGTTACTGCTTGAATAAACTGGTAAAGAAAATAAAAAATGAAAATTAATTTTATGTAATAAATGTTAATGGAAAATGTATTTGTTATTTTATCTAAAAAATAAAAGCTTTTTAAAAAATAATTTTGTAACTTATGTTCAAACACTAATTACTAATTTTTTTTTTGGATGTTAATTATATAAAATCCATTTTTTTACCAGTTTTAAATTTTAATGAATATAACTGTTTATCAACAGAGACTTATTTCTTTAGTATTAGTCTGAGCTAAGCAAGTTCTTAATACATAAACTCTATCAGTAATCCCTAACTGGTTACATACAACTTAAACTATAAAAATCTTTTAATCCAGCAGGAATTTTTTTGGAAACATCTTAAATGGTCATTGTCAAGTTCTAATCCTAAGCTTGATGACTGTTTTAAAACTGTGGAAAATGCTTATTCTCCAAAAACTACTGTTTGATTGCAAGTTTTGTGGTTTAAGTTTAAACTTTACACTGTAACAAATACTATCTTTGAAAAATATTATGGCATACTTAGAAATTATTAACTGCTCTGATAATTTGAGAAAGGATTTTAAGGTGTATGGAAAAGGGGGAAAAAAAGGTTCTGAAAAAGTATACAAAAAGGTGCAAAATTAGCCATTGATGAAATGCATTTATTCAGATCTAAATTAATTGTATAACATACTTTATCCAACACTATAGCAAATATCACGAAGTAAACATGACTTACTGGTCTTAACCAATTTGTTATACTAGATTTAAAGATAAAATTTCTATGGGTTTGAAAGTTGATGACACTTTTAACTCAGGAGATCTTTGTGTGTCAAGAAACTGCTCAATATCAACTGAAACCTATGAAGCATATCTTGTAAGCACTTGGAAAGGAGTTTGCTTGAAGTTGTAAATGTTTCCACATCCAGATTGGTCCTCAAATTTAATGCAAATTTGGCTTTGGTAAATCTGTCAAGGTTGTCCCTCACAGTCATCAACTTCCCTCTTCCTCACCATACCTTCTTCAAACTCTGAATTACATCAGGGAAATACTTTTAGCCATATACTGTGAAAAGTTCCAACTTTGGATCTTTGAACAATTGTTGAGTCTGCTTGATGGCTGCTGCATTCGTTGAATCTAGAGTGCACATGAAGCATTTGATTTTGTCAAAGTTTTCGCACAAAATTTGTGTTTTCTCTTGGCTTTTGTTATATTATCTTGGGTACTATTGGGACTACAATGATGGTAAAAATATCATTTTATAGCTCTTGATCTGATCTACAAAATAAGGATATGGGATTTTATGTAGCTGCTCAAGAAGAATGAAAATAATTTATTTTATTTATTTATTTTTCTGTCTAATCTTTTAAAAACAGAAAGAAGTGAGGGGGAAAGGTGCTTAAGTATCAAAGAAGAGGGAAAAATGTGCTAATTTCATAAAAAGGTGCAACATAGTGTGCTTATTTTGCTTTATTTCACGTCCCAAATTACATATCTTAAACTATCAATATGAATACAGCTATATTTTTGGAAAGGAGCTGCATCTTAGAATCCTTTCTCTACTGATAATGAACATTTTCAAATATATTCCAAAATCTGTGGAATGTCATTCTCTCCACTATTTTATAAAATCTCTATAGTTAAAACATAAATTGTAAGAACAACAGTTTCAAACTTAGAATGAAAATAGTTCATTTTTGCAAAATAATGTACATTTAAATAAAAATAAGATGAATTTTTTTAGACTTACAACTTTATATCCAAGTTAAATTGCATTATCTGCTATTTAATGTTTTGTATTCCATAATTAGAAACTTATTGTATTCAAATATTTCTAGTAAATAACTAAAGATTCATTTTGACAATGAATGAATTTTAATTTAGATATTTGGTGTTTAGTTTAGTTTTACCTATAAATAAAAATATGTAGAATGGTTATAAAATCTATAAGTATGCTAATTAGAAATTATCTGTTTGCTGCTTTATTTTTTTGCACATATTTTAATTTTTCCAAGTTAACAATTTGAAGTCAATACAGTCCTCATAGTTGCTTTGAGATCTTTGTTATAGGGTATATTTGAGTAATATTTTCTTTCACTATACACATTAATATGTTAAGGCTGGACTTTGAGGAAACAACATCAAACTGGTATCCATCATATTAAAATGTAATAAAAGAAATAAGTAATTACAGAGGATAGACTGATCATAACTTGAGACTACTAAAATCTATGATGATTTTTAAAATTATAAAATTGAATATGTAATGAGAATGAAAAATCTCTCAATGATTTTTTTAATTGAAGATATCCATTTTGTAATTTATTACAATATACAAATTATAATTTGGAGTTAATTTTAATTTTTAGATTTGATTTAAATAAACTTGAGAAATACAAAGTTAATAAATTAATTAGACATTACTGGTTTACAATAAGTAATTTTTACATAAACTGAAAATTTTGTTTGACTGATAATTTTCTGTAGCATTGTGAAAATAACTGCTATTGAAAGAAAAACTGTCAGTAAAAGTTTAGATTATTTTTGTTTTGAATGGTTTGTAAATAAAACAAAATGTTTAAATGAAGCAAATTGAACTTTAGTTGGTAATACAAAGAAAATTATAAACAAAAATCTTAATTTTCCTCAAATAATAATAATGTTATAGAAATTAGATGATTATAAATATAATGGTATAATTTCCCACATCTCTTAGTGTTTCCAGATTAGAAAGAAATTCATTCTCTTATACTAAAAAAAGAAAAGTAATAGCAGCTCTAGTAACACAATGTTTATGACAACATTTGCACTTTGATAAAATATTAAGAAAATGAGATAATATATTACATATTGCCTAGATCAGGCATGGCCAACATGCGGCCAGCGGGCCAGATCTGGCCCGTCTAATGAATTTATGCAGCCTGCAATTAATCTTTCAATATTAGCTACTCAAGTCTGAATAGCTTGATGAAAACTTCTGACGCCTAAAAAAAACGTCAACAACTTACTGTGCATTTAGAGTTAACCCTCCATTAAAAATCTCTTAAGTACAGCATAGAATGTTGAGAAAGCATGATAATGTGAAAAATGTATCTGTAAACTCTATGTACTGTACAATTTAGTCTCTACAGTGTGACTCCACATTGAGATCTCGCACCACTTCAAAATCTTCCTAGGGCAGTCTCTGGTTTGGCCCATGAAAAAAGTTTTCTTTTCAATTCGGCCTAGGGGGCAAAAACTGTTGGCCACCCCTGGCCTAGATGAATATGCAGTTTTTCAAATGATATTAAACAGCTATTATAATAATAATAATCAGCTTACTTCATCAACAGCCTTGAACTGAGATTGTGAAAATACATTACTGTAAATTTGTAAATAACAAAGATGCTTTATGAAATGTTATAGTATCATCAGAACAAAAATCCCAATATCAACAGTAGTTAGCTTCTATATAATGTATTAAGAAAATAATAATTTTCATACACAAATGTCAAACAGATATTGATAATGATTAATTTGGAATCTCAGTTGTAGCATTTGAAAATTCCCATGGTATAGGCTTTTATGTCTCCAAATTTTACAGATCATTACATATATTTATTTTATTTTAAGAGAAACTATAGTAAATTTCTAACTTTTATATCTTAAGGCAACAAATTTTGACATAAAAATACAATATTAAATATAATTGACACTAAAACATTAAGATTTATTATCATTGAATGTATATAAGTGATATTTTTATCTCTTGGAAATTCAGGAGTTTTATGATTATAGAATAATTTTATCAATTTGGCAAAAATGCTTTTTAAGCATTTCACCAAGAAACATGTTTTATATGATTACAAATTATTGAAAAAAATTAAGAATTTCAAAATGATATATATTAAAAGTTTATTATAATAACTGAAAATTTTAAACTACAACAATCAGATTGAATATATCATGATATAGGTTATATTTGCATTAAAAATGTCTTTAAATAAAAATTCAAATAAAATGAAAATCAAATTGTAAGGTTAAGAAAAACAGAAGTTGAATTTTTCAAATAATTACTATATAATATAATTTATTTCTAATTAATTATGACATTGCTTTTGAAATAACTTTTTACTGAAATATTGCTGAATAGTAATATAAAATTATTTAAATTATTATGTGGTCTAGCAGAAAAAATGCATTAAAAAAATATATAATTTAAATATTCATTCATTTCCTATGTTACACAAAGGCTTGTATAATAAATTTATAATATTTATTTACTTTTAAGACATTGTAAAATAACTTGGATCTAGAATTTAACTTACATCTATAAGATTTGATAAGAAAATTCTGAATGTTAAAGAAACTATAAATATTTTTTAATCTAATATTTCACAAAAATATTCTATTTAATCATTAAGAATGCTGTTTATTTACTTGTAAGACTACTTTTTACTGTAGATAGCAATCACGATAAAATAAACAAATGATGTTACTTTGGACTCTGACGTTAAAAACTCATTTATGCTGAACAAATATGTCAATTAATGTTTTAAAATTAGAAATCACTTTATTATATTTATAAAGAAAAATAACAATTATATTTATTATTAATTAAATGGGTAAGAAGAGAAAATATTTTTATGATATTGACATATCACCAACACTTTTCACATAGAAAGTTTTGAATATTTTTTTATTTCATATTTAATTAAGTAATATGTTTTAATCTTAAGTTTGATAATTATAATAAATGAGTAAATTTTATTATATTTATATATTTAGTACATGAAACACAATTAAAACTTTTGTTCAGTTACCAATATTGCTTATAAAAATTATTAAACTACACACCAACCAATGCCGAATATCATCGGGCTAGAAACAGATATAATATTAATAAATTATGAGACAATTTGGCCATAGAGTTAGGCATTAGGCCATCAAGATTTAGGCCGTCTTATATAATTTATATAAGAAATTTTTAATAATTTTTAAACAAACATCATCACTAAACCCGATGGTTTAGTGATATAACAATAATTAGACATTTTTATTAATTAATGTATAATTTAAATGTTCAATATTGAGGATTAATAGTTAAAAAATTAATTAACTCAAAATAGTAATTTTATTAATGCTTTATCTATTTTAACAGACATCATCAGGTAAAATACATAAAAAGCAGAACTAAAATTTTAGCTGAAGGTGTCAGAAACAGATTAAAACATTAGTAAAATTACTATTTTAATATATATTGTAAAGTCTTTGTAAATCCGCACTTAAAATGTAAATTTTAATATTGGCGGTAGACTATCACACAGCTTTAGCCAATGATTTCACTTTATTCTATTACTATAGATGCATTAAATAATAGAATAAAGTGAAATCATTGGCTAAAGCTGTGTGATAGTCTACCGCCAATATTAAAATTTACATTTTAAGTGCGGATTTACAAAGACTTTACAATATATATATAACAGCAGTCATAAGAAATTTAATTAAAATTTACTATTTTAAGTTAATTTGTGTTGATTTCAGGTACTGGTCTTCATTTACATGAGTTCTTCCAATTTTTAGAGTACAGTAGTTAATTTTACTAGATAGTAGATTCATAATATCAAAAAATATTGAAAAATGATGTGTTATATCTTATTTGAATGTTTTAAACAGTTAAAAAAAGTTAGAAAATATATGTCAAATATATTACATTATAGTTTGGAAACAAACTTGCAATTTAAATTGAATGCAATAAAACATACAGTAAAAGCAATATCATTTTTAAATTATTAAATGAGTAAAATCAATGAAACAATATTTCGAATATAAATAAATAAAATTTTTCAAAGTTGATTATCTTTTGTTTATTGTATTATACAGACAATTTAATTACAGTAATTACTAAAATATTTTTAAAAATTTTATGCATATAGATGATTAGTTCTAATATGAATATGTATTATTAGGATTTTGAATAAATGACAATAATGAAAAATACTGTAAATCTTTATTTTTGTTTTGTTTAGAGCATTTAAGTAATTCATTTTTAGCAACATTTATATTTATTACATATTTTAAAATGAATTTTTTAATTAAGCATTTTGTTTGATCAAACAATGTAGCATTTTGCTGAAGTGAATTGTGTTCATGCCTTATACAACTTTTATTTACTTGACAACTGATGAAGATCCATCAACTGTCGAAAATGTTCTTGTTCACTAAGTAACTTGCTGGTGTAATTTAAGATGGGAATGATTTTCATCTTGACATTTTTTCTCCAGTTCCTCAGTAATTTCTTTACTACATTGCCTTTTTTCAACTTGAGAAATGAATAAAGTTATTTTGTACTGAAGTTAGCTATAGTTCATATTTGCTTTATTTTTCTAATTGTATTATATTAAAAAGTATTTATCTGATTTTAAATTATGTTTTAATGAATTTGGCACAGTGTTCTTGAGAAATTTTAATCCTCATAATGAGCTAGCTGCCTTTATTTTATCATGACACAAGATCTAATATGAGTTTTGACCAATGTTTACAACAATAAAATATTCTAATTAGTGTTGTGAGATTGAAATTCCCATATATTCTGATTTGTAAAGCTTGTATATTTGTTTCCATTTTTTTTTTCCTGCATCATTTTTAATGTGTATTAATTTATTAGAAATAGTATCATTTGCTCTAATGTCATTATGCAGTTTAGTGAACTTTCACATTTACATTACGAATCCTTCCGTAATTGATCACAATTTTATTTTTTTCTTTTACTAGTTATTAAGTTTTGTGCTTGTTTATTGTTTTAATTAACTTTTTATCTTACCATTAAGTAAAGAAACATCTGATAATTTATGTATTTGCTTCTCTCATTTCATATTAGTTCCTCTTATGTTGATGAATGACTTAATCAACAGTTTTATTTTATGTTTATTTAGAATTATTGGTTGATAGGTAAATAGATGTTTTGTAGAACTTTAATGACCAGATTATGTTGGAATAAGGGACAAATTTTGACAATGAGAAATAATGGATAATCTTGCTTCTTTTTATGAGATTTGAATTTACAAGAGAGTTTCAGAAATGTTCATAAATTGGGTAATACTGTATATAAATTCAGTTTATTGTATAATGTAAAATTAATAAAGAATAAAGTAAATCTCAGGAGGAACCCATTGTTCCTCCCCAAGAGTTACCAAGATTTACTTTATTTTTTGTTTCTTTTCTTTGCTTTTTACATTGAAGCAACTATATTGTAGTCTTAGCACAATGAGATGGCCCTTCCAGTTCTCCTTTAACATTTATGCAGATGCTGAATTACTTGAAAGATGTCATATTTTAAGGTATAGCTGGAGTTTCTGCTTGTATTTTAAATGTATTTATTATTCACTCTTAGGAAGATATAGGAGGATAGTATAAGCAGAAACAAACTTGTTTAATGAACATGATTTTAGTGAATCAATGATTTATTAGTTGATCTAAATTATGTTTATTTTGTTCTGAGATAAAATCCTGTACATATTTTTATACTGTATAACTCATTTTTCAGCTGTTAAATTAAAAAAGAGCAAACAAAATGATTTAAACTCAAGTACTTTCATTGATTTTTCAAGTAATTTTCAAATATTTGAAAAATAAAAAAAATAATTTGTGCTTTTGTTAACTAATTTAACATCAGAAAAATGGAGTATGTAATATTTAAATAGTAATATGTGATATATTTGTAATGACTTTGCTGTATTTGATTGATTCAATCACAATTTAATATATAACTATATAAGCTTGATTTTTATACAAATTTATTTTGATGAAATAGAGTAGGCATAAAATTATGATAATAAATTTCACCATTGCAAATCATAAGTGTCATTTTGAATATATTATTGATATAGTTAATGATTTTATATATTTAATATAAAATATAAAGTTTAAATTTAGAAATTTTGAGTAATATATATTATTTATTTTTACAGAAATGCCAGGTAAAGAAGACTCGGAATGCTTTCTTTTGATTTATGGTAGTGAAACAGGAAATGCTAAAGCCATTGCTGAACAAATTAATGATAAAGCAAAAAAATACCAACTTGTGGCCAAATTACATTGCTTTAGTGAAACTGATAAAAAAGTAATTTTCTTACATTTAAATGAAGATTTTTCTAAAATGGCATCTTTTTATTCTTTATCAAATTTATTTCTTATTTTTTTGATATTTATCAAGAAATAAGAGATAGATATAGTTTTTAGTAAAACCAATGATAATTTTTATTGCTAGTTTATAAATTCCATATCATTAAGAAATACTTTTTACATTTTGAAATTAATATATAATTATGGTGGCCAAACTGTGACTCATGAACTGCATGTAAAGTAGTATATTATGAAGTATAGTATAAGCAAGGATCATAAGTTAACTTGAATTGGGATAACTTGAAATTGCATTTACTTGAAGTCATTTTCTTTTTCCCGTTGTCTAGTGTAGGGATTTACATGTTAAATTAAACTGGTTAAGTCAAATTTGTTGAAAGGTTTAGCTCAAATGGGGTTTTGATACAGCATTTTCATAAACTCTCTGAAATTTTAATTTAAATAAAATAATTAATGTTCATGTATCAAAGAAACTAATCAGAAATGTTCTATAAAGTGCAGGAACCATGTATTACTAAAAGTAAACAGTGTCAAGTGAAGGCAGGCAGGAAGATGGCTTCCAGACAGCATGTGTTAGAAGGATGCTCATATATTGGGGCATGTGCCCCTTTTACACCTGGGTAGCATTTTTTCTTAATCCCCATGGGGCCCCAAATTCTGTTATAAACAAACGATAGAAAATTCATGACTTTCAGCCTATTCTACAAGTATAAAAAACTAATGAACTATATTTGTCATGTGTAACTTTGTCATATGTTGACCGAAACTTGGTCTTGAAAACAAGTACAGTTGGCAGTTATAGTGTGTGTACTGTAACTGCCATTCAAATCTGCTTTTTTTCTGAACAGTGTTTTTGTTTTATCTGATTGATTGGATTTCTCTGGCTAGCTGATATAATAAATAAATGGATTTTTGATAAATTAATTTTAAAAAATGATTATAGTCTGATTCTAAGTAAAAATTTTAACCTTTGTAGCAAAAATTTAAAAATATAAGAATAGTATAGAGTAATATGTTTGTGATAAAAGAAGATAAAACAGATTGATCCTAGGTGTAAATTATCACAATTTAAAAAATCCTTAGTAAATACTTAGGAATGAACTGATCAACCATTCAGGAAGGCATTTGTTGGTAGCGTATTTAACCTTAACTATTTGGTTATGCATTTTTGAGTTTCTAGACAACCTAAGCAATTTACATTGATACAATAATTCTATGTAATAAGACCCATGGAAATATTGTATGGATAGTTTATTATGGGTCACTAATAAAACAATGCACAAAATCTTGATTTTTAGCTGACCCTCCATAACTCAAAACTTTTTAACACAAAGTCTGAATTTTTTCCCCAACTAATTTGAGTTAATCAGGTTCCTCTGTGCTTATACAGTTTATTTTTATAAACTTGTTACGTACTACTTACATATAAATAATATTTTTGTAAATTTTCTGACTATTATGTAGTGTAGTATATGCAGGGATTGTAAGTGTAACTTACAACTTACTCTAAGCTTTCAGTTGCCTGTTTAAGGTTACATTCATAAAGTCAAAAGAGTTAAATGATTGTTTACCTAGGCAGTCATAAAGTACTAATAAAGTAAAGTCACAATGATATTTACTATAGAACAATGATAATTATAATATTTTAACTATATACAAGTATAATATAAATAGATGATGTGGTTTTCATAAGTGCAGTGTACAACTCCTATGTTGACAAGATTTGGCCACTCCTCATATATAATTAGTACAGTAAGACTCCGCTTTACATGGGGGATGTGTTCCTAGATGACAAAGTGCTAAAAGAAACAGTGTTAAATGAGGTCATTTTAACATAGAGTAAATAGGGATAGGGAAACGTGATCAAAAATAAACAAATTTTACTTTAAGTTATTTTTATATTGATTTACATAATAATATATGTTAAATAACACATAAACATATGCACACACAAATGTAAAGTTTACTTTTTGTGATGAAGGTGCTGACTTTTCTGAAATTTTTGTTTTTTTTTTTTTTTTTGCAATAAAGTCACAAAGTTTCATTTGTTGCTATTTTCTTTCCTTAAGCAAATATCGGTAGCAGAAGATTGCATCCAAAATGCCTTGTTTTGCTTTTGCACTCCTTTCAAAATCTGGATCATTTGCTACAATTTGATCAACAATTTCAGTTATCATTACCAAATTTTTACTAAGGAAATCTGTAGAGAAATTTTTTTGATTCTTCATTTTCAGAATTTATTTTCCAGTTCTACATGAATTCCTTGTTCTGCCAGTTCTTGAAGGTCGTCATTGGTAAGACTCTCACCAAATATCTGCAGTAACTCCTCAATGTCCTACTCGTCTATATCTCCTAGTTCTACTGTATAGATTAGGTTGACAATTTCATCAACCTAACGATACAGCAATAGACTCTTCTCGTTGAGACTTCTTGGACCTTTAGCCATAACTTCTTCCACACTTCGTTTGTGCATTTATCGGTTAATTCTTTCCAAGTGAAGCCGATATTGCCTGTGGCATCCATGATGTTATATTGTTTCCAAAATTGCACCAAACAAACATAGATTTAAAGAAAGTATACCTTTTTGCCACCTGCTTCTGATTGGTTCATATTCATAAATAATCCTATTATATATGAATCAATGAAATGCCACGTTAATTTAAATCAACATAAATGTTGAGCTTTTTTTAGGCTTTGAGCAGACTGCATTATATTGAATTGGCATTAAGCGAGGCAGTGTTAAGTGGGGTCTTACTGTATTTGGATTTTTGGCTATGAATTCTATAGATTATAGAAATGTAGAAATTATTTATGAGCTCTGAACAAATTTTTATTTTAATAAATGTAAAGTTTTTACTGAAAGAATAAGTCACTTTAACATATTTGGATCATTTGTGATAAAAAGTATATTTTCACTAATCTTACCATTTGACATGGTACAGCATAGACTGTATGGCTCTTGCACCAAAAAACACCAACCAACCAACCAATAAAAAGTATAAATAGGTAATAAATCATTTAAAACATTGAGAGAAATGCTACAAATAAAATTTTCTTTTATTGTTTAATTACCAAAGCAAAAATTTTATATAACTTTCTGTTTAAAATGTTATAAATAAAGTGATTTCTTTAAGAGTTTTGATATTTATAAATTATAGATTACCTTATATCTTTGGAAAACTAATGTAATTTGGATTTAGCTTTGCACATACTGTACATATATAATAAAGAATTGGAGTATTTAGGTAACTTAAGCAAAAAATTAAAATATATGAAAATTATTTATTATGACATTGTCACAATGCTGGGTGGAAATTTAATTTATTTAATTCAAAATATATATATTCTCTCCACCTCGAATTAGTAGTGGGCCCCTGTACATCATACTTTTTCTTTAAGATAGAGTTGTGCTGGTTATTTATCGAACACCTTTCAGAGAAAAATTTTTGAATTGAAACATGACTTCTGGTTTGCATTGAAAGTTCATATATAGTTAATCGGGACCTCCTGCCTCTAAGGTTTCTGTATCTGGTCTTGTCTTTCATCTATCCAACTTTGTTCTTGAGAAGATTAAGGAAAGCCGGATGGACAACAGTGAGAATTTATAATTCTACAATTTTTTCAAATTGCAGCCCAACTACTGTTAGTCATTCTACTAAATCAAGTTTACTCAATTTAACTAGACTGTTGTCTCAAACAAATTTTGGAATTATATAGCTGTTTTTTAAACTCTTTTAGCTCAATACTAGGAAGATCTTTTCCAGGTCTCTCATAGGTTTGAGTGGTGATGGATGGGACCATCATATTTGGAACAGATCATCCATGAATTTCTGGGATTTTTCTCATTTGAATTTGAACCCATATTTCCCAGACTGGCAGGGCTGATACTTTACTGCCTCAGCCATCCAGCCAGCAAGGGATTATATATGTTCAAAACAGTTAATTATAACACAAAAGATTGTAATTTTAATGTTGTAAAGTGACATCAGATTTATGGGAAAATGTACAATACTAATAAATAATTTATGAAAATTTTTGTTTAAAGTGAGCAACTTTCTAAAGCATTATTGCCAGTGAATTTATCAACATCTTTAATTAATTATATATTTTTTCTAATATGCTTTAAATAATGAACAATAACTAATTTATTATGTGCTCCTTGTAGTTATAAGTTTAAGAATTCTTTAATGAATTGTTTTCTTATTCTTTGTTACAGTTATTGTAAAATGGTATCAAGCTATAAAAACAGGTAAAAAAAGATCATTCAATACAGATTTACAGTATTTACACAACAGAAAGCTTGTGCTTGACATACTGACATAATAAACATTAATTAAAAAATTTAGGTAACAGTATTAAAAAATGGCAATGAAGAATCTTTTTCAGATAACATTTTTTCTACAATATTAAAGAAAATATATAAATCTATAAAACATATTCACTGCAGATGACAAAATATTTTGAATTTGAGTTTTTTTTTCATTCTATTTTATTATTATGTGTGTCAGTGCTCTATTTTATAGACTAGAAAAAAAGAGTTTTGTAGTATAAAAACTAGAGTTGCTACAAAAAAAAATAAGTTTTTAGATAGACAAAATTTTGAAAATGTTTGTTTTACTGTACACTTTTTAATGCTATATAGAAAATTTCTATATGATATAGTGTAATGCTATAGTATTTTCAGAAGAAATTTGTTTTTTCTGAGAATATTATAATATATGGTATATACTGTATATAAATAAATAACACATTATTAATTCTTATTATACAGTGGTGGCCCAATGAAAAATTTACTTGTGAGGCTTGATGACATCAGTAAGGAGTTGTAAATACTATC